CAGCAACGGCACAACCATGCGGAGCACTGATCCGTGCCAAGGGCATCATGGTAAGGCAAAGGCGATGAAGCAAGGCACAGAGGTCGCTCGGCAGGAGCAAGTACCCTTGTCCGTAGGTTCGTTGCCATCCAAAAAAGACACCGGAATCAACAAGCAGGATAGCTCCCCGGAAGTGAACAAGAAAGTCAGAGATTATTCTACCAGTTCTGCAAGTGGCACAACAGTCTTCGTGCGATCAAAGAAGTGGGGGATGCGACGTCAGGAATGGGCACAAGAGCCTCGCCGAGCGGCCGAGGACGGCGGTTCCCTTGGCATCAATTCGACAGCCGTAACGGGGTGCAAGCATCCTAGCACCGCCGTTGCCGACACGGCCCCAGACTTCAAGCGAGAGCCGATCAGACGAGCATGGGATAGACGAAGCACCGCCTGGAGCGCCATAGGGAATATTACATACTTTGCCCGCGAAGAAGATTGCGTGGAACCCCTCACAGTTGCGCCTGGCAGGGATCGAGGCGCAGGCCAAGGGCACAAGGAAGGCGGCGAAGGGCGGAAAGGAGCGCCTGCGGGTTGCTCGCGCTTGGCTACGCCGCGGGCGGTTGTTTCCCGTGAGGAACTGTTCCCTCGTGTGGACTACGTTTCCTCCGCGGATTGGAAGATCTTGAACCCACCCGCTATCAACCGAAACTTGCGCCCGGGCAACAGCCGTCGGCGGCCCTCTCACGGACGAGACCCTTTTTGGCTATCGCAAGCAGCACCTGATAGTGCTGACAGCATTCCGGTACCAGAAAGGAGAAGAAGAAGAGAACCAGCCACCGCTGCCACCAAGGGAGGTAATAGCGCACGGGCATTAGCGGCATCAACGCCGGGAACGACAGTTCGAGTGCCGCAGCCTTTGTCGGTGGTGGCGGTCTGGGCAAGGGCTTGTCCCTCTGGGCAAAGCAAGCTGTCGAAGACAAAACAAGCGCCATCCGATGTTTTTGAAGGCAATTCAATAGCGACGGGTGGACATTCTGGTGGTAGCGTCATAGAAGAGTATCCCACCATCGACCGTGACCGCGGAGGGCATTCAAGTCCTCCACGCTCTGCAACGAGAGGGTGTCATCAAGCTGCGACGACAAATGCGTTGCCAGCTCGACCTCGCGGTGCTATAGTATCCTCGAGGTGGGCCAGGCGTCGTTGTACTGCGCGGCGCATTATAAGTACCGTGCGACGGGTTTATTTGCGTTAGCTTTGTCACAAGTATCATGTCATGATTCTTTTGTGTTTTGATATTTTCCTACGTAGGGGGCACTAGCCAGCACTGCACACCGTCAATCTCGGCGTCCTAAGTGGAACGCCGGCAAGCAATCAGCGCTTGAACATGTCCAACATAATTCTCCACCGTACCCCACCCTTCCCGCCCATTTATGACCCATGGGCCCTTACCAAGCGGGGCGTGAAACATGGTACCGAAAAATTGTCGACCACTGTGTACGCATTGTTGGACCGATATCGGCTTCAACGCCGTGATTCTTGCCTCATCGCCGTCCCCTGTGGATGCCGTTCTCCACAGGCAAAGTACCGTCCCTGGAAAACCGTCGGCGCCTCGAATGGGCGCAAAGCGCGGGTCAAGGCCACAGTCGGCCGGTCTGTTGTACTTTCGAGCACACCTACAACGACCGAGCGAGAGAGGTGACAATCCATGGGGCGGCGAAACGCCGGTAGCGGTACGGCTGGTGAGAGGACGGAGAAATGGTGAGCTTGCCGCCCGCCGGATCGTCGATAGCGAGTCTCGTTTCTCAGTTGGACCAGCGAAGAAAGCTACGAGAGGGACTGCAACTGTGGAAAAAGCCACAGCTAGCTCGCTGGAAACTGTCGGTAAGGCAGCGGGGTTAGTACACTCGGTGGCGGCGGCTCCCGACGGAGAGAACGCGGAAGAGGGAAGAGAGGGACGAGCCCATGCATCGCGTGACACTAGGGGATGTCCGAGGGAGGCTCCCCGGCCACTGTCGCCGTCCCGTAGGTGCGCCGGGGTCTCAGCCATGGTACAGCCCAAACCGGTGTCTACGGTGGTGGTCGGGAAGCACTGCGCATTCCGTCCGACAGGGAGGTCGACTCAGACAACAGGGAACGCTTCTGTTGACCATCACCATCGTACCCCGTGGTACTTCCCACTGGTCGGGGTTCCTCGTAACCTCCTCTCCCAACGACCGATCGATCACACGTGTGCGGCGACACTAGATCGCGCCGAATTGCGAATCGAAGGAATTGGTGCGAAACGTTCCGTGGGATGTTTACGGCCTTCGTCACCGGGGCAAGAACAATATCCGGCAGCAGGGATAGCGGACACCACACAAGAATGCGATGTCGATTGGTCAGCGCCAGTAGAATCTATGGGTCAAGACGGAGAACAGCGGGAAAGTCAACACGTGTCATGCTCAAGGGAGGTGAACGTGTCCAAGTCGAAGGGAAACTATCCTGCAACTGGTCTCAAGGACTCCACCCCGGCAAGCAAGAATAGATCACCGTCGTCATCGCCGCAGCACTTCCGGACAACCACGGACGTCGACCCCCGCGCTACTGCTACTGCTCGTGATAACTTCAGTCGAATCCATGCCCAGAGTATCAGTGCCGATACCCACGGTGACACAACCGGACGTGTGTCCAACAGCACGGGTGACACAGCTGGTCCAAAGACTACATCCGCTGGTTCGCTCCGGCTATCGTCTGCGACTACTATGGAGAGGGCAATAGTTTCCGAACTCGTCTTGCACGGAAGGCCCGCCAGAGATCAACAACTTCAAGACGCGCCCCGTGGTGTTATCGATGGCGTCTGCAGCTCGTCGCTCAGGAGATCGTTCTCTTGGCCCTGCGGACACAAGGGGGTCACTTCTACCAGCGCAATTCAGATCAACCCTGGTCGGCAAAAATTAGGTGCCACCGCCGTTCAGGAGTGCTTTTCCGAGAGGGGTGGTGGTGGATTCGGCGATTCCGTCGGCGGTGAAGGCAAGCAACCGCGCGTCCCCTGGAGCACCAACGTGGTGCTCCTATACGTGCGAGATCCTTCGGAGCAAGAGCCAGAGTTTTGCAACGAACGAGTTGTGCGTAGCGATGCCAGACTACACCCGCTGTACCGATGGCGGCGAGAAGATAGAAGTGGAGGGGGACAGAGAGGAGGGGGACAGAGAGGACGGGGATCTGACGCAGGAAACGACGGAGAATCAGCAGCACAAGCAATGGCGGTTGCGGGAATAGGAGAATCGTGGGGGGGAGGAAGTCCAGGAGGGGTTGCGGGAAGTTTCGGGCAAGTTGTTGGAGAGAATCGACCGTCCATGGGAACACCCTTTTCCAGGTAGGTTTTGCTCATTGGAACTTTGTTGTGTCGCGTCATGCGACATGACCACCGGTGAATGGTGGTCAGGCTACACCGAAAACTTTTCGTTGTCAGCGATGAAGAGGAAGGAAGTGGGCCGAAAACTCATCGGGTCTCGCGTTTCAGCTTAGAGCTGCTATGGCATACCTTCACATGCGAGACACACTCAACTCGCGTCGGATGAGCACCACTCCACCGGTGTCGTGGGCAAGAACGTTTCGACGTAACCGTCTGCTGATACCGTGCGCTCCAACATTTCCTTGCTCCCATCTGCCGCAGTCCTTTCTACAGCTTTGGAAATATTTTTCAATTGTACAGCAGTAGGCTTCGCCGACCCTTGTGGATGTTCGTTCGTATGGTGGGGTTGTCGGGCGGGCAGGTACCTCGAATGGCACAATTGCGAGCGAAACAGGTCATTGAAGCCCCAACCTGAGATTCCGCGGCCAGACAAGACGCTCCGCGATACAAGCCCCCGGCAACCTCAGTACTCTACGCCTTACCAGCATGCCCCGCACAACCCGCAGGTCAGGATCGCCGTTGATGTTCGAGTTACATCCCCAATACATGCAATGTTGATAGAACATCTTCAACAGAGAGGGGGTATGAAACCCTGAGCAATGTCGAGGTTGTCTTGTTGCGAGCTGATTTGTGGGACCAATGGAGTTTTTTTGGTTCTGCAAGTTGATTGGAGCTTGGCTGGAACCAACGCTGGCTTGGAGGTAAATGGTCATGCTAGTGTATTGCCATGAGAGTGGTAACGATGCCTCACATGAGTCGACACTAAGTTCAGATCAATACACCACATCATTTCACGGCATTTGACTGTCGGAGATCGCGTGGACCTCGCTATTCCGCGTCGCCGACCCATTGCCTCTTCCCATCCCTCCAGACCTACAGTCCCGGTTTCATACGAAGTATCAAGGGTATCGGTTGATGTTTCCCCTCATGATATCAAACATGCAAACGCACGCAGGCCTTCTTGCACGCGGTACTGACGGGCGTGTCTCGAAAGAGGACTGAGAGCAAGGGAAGTCGTCAAATGCGAGAGCCGGCGGAGGATCATGAAGAGGGGCAGACAGGTCCTATAGAGAATAAGCTTTTGTCGAAGTCGTGTTATCGGTTGGATCGGTGGCTCAACATCAGGCACAGCACAAGCTCTCAGGCCGACCTCGAAAGTCGCCACCACGGCTCACGACATTCAGGAGTCCATGCGTAGCGGACGAACCGCTTCTGGTTGAATCGAACTCATACATGTAGGCTTACTGTAAATGACCGCGACTTGGACGTTCCCGCGGTGACTGTGCATATTCTGCGTGACCCCATGGGTTTCGTCCCCTTCTCTTGGTACATTTGTGTTAATTTTAAGTCATGGTTAACTCGTTCCCCATTATCTTGTTTGATGCCGTCAATGTTCCCTGATTCAAAGCGCCTCAACCACGACGACGCGATCCCAACTTGAATTCAAGTTTTAATGCAGAGCGATATAATCGGCATCGCTTGCCAATGACGTCTGCCTGCTCGGTCATGTCTTCAGCATACCGCAAGAATCGCTCAAATCGGTTTCCGCCATCGTATCGGCCGATAGCGTGCCCATCACCATTCCTCGCCACCGCACTTGTCGATGTCTAGTTGGCAAGCATCTCAGTGATCACTGTATAATTTCCTCTGCCGGATAGTGCTGTGCCATTCTACTGTCGAGGGACAGTTCACCTTCCGATGAGGCTTCTTCGAAAGAGGAATCGCTTCCTCGTTTCTGCAAGGAGGCAAACCTCACTTCTGTCTCCGTCGAAACGTGGCTGCTGACAAGGCTCCCGTTGAGTGACCGGTCGAATTGTTCGTTGTCTCCTATTTTTCCGGACTCCTGCTCCACCGAAGGCAATGTGGATTTTTCCATTTGGCTCAGCACTCTGTGCACTCGCCGGTTCTTCGCTTTAGACGATGGTGTCTCGTAGAAAGAACGTCTAACCCCCTCGACAACCCCTGCGCCGGGGTCTGCATTCTCCCGCCCATTTCCACCACCGATGGTGCGATGGCCGAACTTGGTGTTGGTAGGAATGTTTCGCGGCACGTCACCTTCACCCTCTTCAAAGCTGGAAGCGAATCCGACAGCAGGTTCTTCGTCTTGGTTGGGTGATCCCGTCGAAGGTCCGAGCATCGCACGCACGGTGTTGTGCCTTGCTACCTCAACCGGGCGCTCTCCTCTATCGTTGATGGCCCCACGATTTGCCCCAAGACGCAGGAGTTTTTCTACGGCCCACTCTCTCCCGTGAAAGGCCGCCATATGGAGAGGTGTGTCTCCGTTCGAGGTAGTCGCCTGACGTCCCAGGTACAGGAGAAACATCGTCGAGGGAAGATGTTAAAGTGCATCTGCCATACCCATTTTGGTTCTTTGGGCAGGGCGGCGGTGTGACCATGTTTTGAGTGCCCCACTACTCGGTCTTTCGACACGACCGTGTGAGTGAACCAGATCGTTTAGCAAGTGAAGAGGTAGGTGCTCACAGCTACGCACACACCTCCATGTTGATCGATGCTGGCTGATGATAGCTGGAGAGGAGCGCGGAGGCCACCTCCTCGCGGCCATTCGCGATCGACGTGTGCAAAAGCGGTCCATCCGTTGTTGTCGTAGGCATTGACGTCGGCGCCGGCCACGAGCAGCAATTTCACCACCTTCATACATAGGAGTACGATGTAGTGCTCGATGTTGAACGAGGGGTTTGATGGTCTTGAAATAAGAGTGGAGCTGGGGATTTCGTTGCGTACACCGAACGGTTTGTACGTACAGCCATTGTAGTTGTGTTTTGCATAGGTAGCTGCATGTATGTGCATACAACATTGTTGGCTGCGTATTGGCTGTCGCCTCATCCAATCCTTGTTGTTTAGGAGACGGTGTACCACTGGCCTGCATACTCATCGCTGACTGAGTGTCCGAGGGGATTAGCCCCCTTTATCGAACAACAACCATCCACAGAGATGAGATGTATCCGTAACATTTGTGTACCTGAGCATGGCCGTACCGAGCAGCCTTCAGGAGCCCGCTGTCCCCTAGTATGTCTCGCTGCTCCAACTCAGCGCCTTGACGTACGAGAGAGCGTACAAATTCGACATCGCCACTCCTGGCAGCTAAAAGGAGGCCGACCCCAGATGCATCCTGGTGGACGGGCATAACTGCATGTACGAAAAAGATTCAAATCCCCTTCCTAGAGTTGTAGACTGTTCTATGCATACAACATGATGATGATGATGGATACGGTCGGCAGAGCCAAGTTGGCTGACAACCCACGATATTCGCACGCAACCGTCCGCCCTGACCTGAGCCTCGACGGTTCGCGATGCGTTCTTTATACCACCTGCCACTATTGTTCAAGAGCGACGCACAAACCCGTCAGAGGCGGGCGGTCCTGCGCTCGCTCGGCCAGAGAGGAAGTGCGCAAGAATTGCGGCATCGGGGGGTCGGCGGCTAGGAAATCTTTCTGGGGGGGCGACGCAGACAAATATTGCCGTAGGCGATCATGGCCATCAGGATGTCGCCGGGGTTCCCGACACCAACGGCGTCGTCGAATGTTGAGCATGTGCTTAGCCTCGCCACACACACGGGGCAGCCACCATGCCCCCCACGCTGGCAGAGGATGGTCAGCAGCAGCGTAAGAACTCGCGCAAAATCAAGCGTTTGCGGGATGCATCCTGCATGAGGACACGGGAGACAGCGCAGGTGAGTGTGTGTACGCGTGTCGACACATAGACGACGAACCAACCGATTTCGAATGTTCGAATTGGCATGGCTGGTCGTGACTGAGTGCTCTGGCGCGCGCAGCACGCACGTTGTGTGCCATGCCTCCCCGCACGCTTCCGTATGACTCTGGCTTGTCCGCGGAAGCCTTGGGACGTTGTATACCGCGAAGAATGGTCGTGCGCAGAGTATCGTCCAGCTTCCTTGGACGAAGTAAACTGATCCAACACTTGCGTTGGTCGTTTCCCCAACCATGGTCGCGTAGCCTTTGCTACAATACCGATCACTGCTGAAACTCATGAGCGTTCCCCACCCTCCCCTAGTCTTCAGAAAGTCCCTTTTGTCGCCATCCTCGCAATCCTTGCATCGCGTTTCGATTTTCTTCGTCGTTGCTCTGGGTTGGTTGCCCCTGTTCAAACACAGCCGTGTTTTGCTCTATATTTGTCTGAATATCCCAACACGCACCCTTGTAAGCAAGCAAACCTAGGGAGCTCATCAAACAGGCGAGCGGCTATTGTCCCGCTGGCCCCAGTCAAATCCGCCTACAACAATCTTGCCCAGCACGTGCGCATTTCTCGCCGTAGCTGTAACTACCGGCCGCGAGAGCGGCTCGTCTCCGTTGGACGTTCACAACATTCGCCGTGCTGTGTAACGACACCGTAACGCCATAGCTGCAACTACCGGCCGCGAGAGCGGCTCGTCTCCGTTGGATGTTCACAACATTCGCCGTGCTGTGTAACGACACCGTAACCGGGTGTGCGTACATCAGCGGCGTTCATGTTTAGCTAGCGCGCTTGTCGGAAGAAATTCTCCTGTGCATCCCCGAGAAAACTACACGGCGATTGTACCGGTGACACTGCTTGGCGGAGAAATCGGCCCTGGCGTTCGCCCAACCCGCTTTCCCAACTTGTGCCCATTTTCGCTGAAACCGTGCCGGCCGTTATTTTTTTTTTTCTACTACGACGGTAAACATCGCTCACCACAAAGCGTTACTCTCTGCTTATTGCTCAACCGTTCCCCGGTGCAATGTGCACGTCTCTTCGTGCTTTGTTTCCCATCTATCATCTCCGCAGGACCGTTGGGGGCGGCAGCGCGGCGGGAGAAAGGCGCGATGGGACAAGTGGGACAGGCAGCCCTCCGCCTTCAAGAGCCGCCTGCGGTCAGGAAATTTCGCCGCCGCTGCTGCCGTCGCCGGCGGCGGCCTCGGCGGTGGGGTTGTTGACGATGACGCTATCCTCGAAGCCGCAGAGGAGGCGTTCGCCTTCGTTGACGCCGCCACAATGAAGGTGGCTGCGGCTGCCAACACCGCTAACCCTGTCCTTAGTTCCGAAGGAACCGCTAGCGATGAGGGCGTCGGTGGGGGTGCTGGTGCCGAGGGAGACTCGGATGCTGGCACCGGTATCCCGGCTTGCTCCGTCGCCGTCGTGGACGGTGGGCGTGTCACCGGCGGGGATGACGTCCCCCCTGAAGTCGCTGCTGGAGACGGCGCGCACACGCCGTCCCCGACGAGACGAGCGCTGCAGCGGCAAGAAGAGACGCCGCCGTGCACGACGACGCCGGAACCGGCGGCGGCGGCGGCCGTCCTTGACGCGGGGGGGAGCACCGACGATGCCGTTGCGTTGTCACCGGTGCCGGCAACCACGGCAACAGCCGTATCAACACCCTCTTCGGCCCGTATTATTGTTAATGGTGTGAGCGGCAGCGGTAGCAGCGGCGGCGGTAGTAGTAGTAGTAGGTCGAAGACCGCCGGCAGCGGGGGCCTCCGGTCGTCTCTGAGATCGCCCGGCGGTCTTTCTCGCGCCGGGTCTAAGGGTAGCGGCGTCGGCGGCGGGCTTGGAAGCGGGAGCTATCGCGGGAGTCCTCCTCCTCTCCACCGTAGGCTTAGCTCGCCGGCAGGGGTTGGCAGCGGCAAGAAGGGCCAGAGACAACGCCAGGCAGGGGGCTCGACGGCTGGGGGGTCGACGGCTCGGGGGTTAGGAAGCGCCAGGAAGAAAAAACAAGCGTCGCGGAGCGATGCGGGGCGGCAGGGGGGCGCAGGAGAGGAGGAGGTAGCCGCGGCGACCCCACCACCCCCCCCGAGCCTGTTCGAGAGCGTGTTCAAGGACAAGTTACCAAGCCTGACGCCGAGAAAAGCACCTCCAGCCACGCCGCGGTACGTGTTTCATGCGTTTGTCGTCGGCGGGGGGAGGGGGGGGGTACTCTAATATTTTGGGTGTCATCGCGGTTAGACCATTGACCACGCGTCCTCGAAGGGACGGAGTATTGTTCCCACAGGACCGATCACCGATGACCAATTGTTCCTTCCTGCTCTGCCGAAAGTGACTCAAAAATGTCTTCCCTCGTCTAACTATCCTTTTGATATCACTTCGCGCCTTTTGAACCCGCTTCCTATGCCCCACTACCGCTACCGTCCTCCCTTGGCTATTCCATGACTCAAGGATCTCCCTGTATCTTCCTCTTACTTTTCCCAGCTCAGTCATGTACACTTCCCTTTCTTTATTGTACAACCGACGTTCTGCAGCTGCATGAACCCGGTCTTCGCGCTCGGAACCGCAATCGCCTTTGAACATGTCGTCATCGTCTACCTTCTTAAATCTTCGTTTTTGGCGGGGGGCGGGGGCGGGTATCCGGAACACACGAGGGTTTGGACTGATTTGCCAGCGAGAGCTTCGGCCGTCTAATTTTTTTTCTGGTGAATGATGGTTCTCGATGATGGAATGAACGTCCAGGGTCAAGGTACCTTTTCGTGTGTTCACGCAGTTCTTTGATTTTTTCGGGGGGGGGGGGGTTCTGAAATTGTTTGTTGAGCAACTGGTTCAAGGTCTCTGTTTTATGTTTCCCCGGTTCGCACCCCTCCGCGCTCACAATACGTTCCCAAACCACAGACGTACGCGTTACCAAACCGCCCTTCACTCCCTGAGGGCTTTCGACACCCGAACCAGCACGTCCTCGCCCTCCCCCCCATGTGCAACGTCGTCTTGGCGTATCGACGACAAGGGCTCGAGGTTTTTATCACCAATTACGCCTAGCCGCCAACACACACAGGCCCCCCTCCGCCCCCCCCTCAATATCACACCGCGCTTCAATTTTCATCGTCAATTCGCATCCATGTTGATCTTGTCACAGGCTCAGCAGGGATTCGATCGTTCACGCGATCTTTCAGTCCCTCTTCGGCAAGCGCAAGGTGCGGAGCGGTCCCCGCGAGCGCTACGGGGGGGACTGGGACGACGTTGACGACGAGGACGATGACGAGCTGGAGGCCGACGAGGACGAGGTGGACGAGTCGTGGATCAAAACCGGCATCAACCTCACCCTCTTCAACTCGCAGGCAGTAGACTTCGCGTGCAGGTCAGTAGATTGCTGCCGGAGAAAGGGTGGTTGTGGTCGTATGTAGAGACGTGGTACTTACGCACGTAGGCGCAAGTGTAGAGTTTTAGCGTAGCGGGGTGACTGTGAAGACATCGTATTTATTTGTACATAAGTCGCTTGTGTAAAGTTCAAGCCTACTTATAGCGGGGTTCTGACGCTCCAAGAATGAATCAAGAGCTAAGACCCATCCAACCGCAGGAGGGGGTCCAACCCCCCCCTCCTATGTGACCCCGGTTGGGTCGTGTAGCCAGTAGAAGTGGAGGATAGGGGCCAGAGGGGCAGACGGCAGAGTCCAATGATGGGAGAGAAACAAACAAAAAAAAACAAACAACCCATCCTCGCTGGGGCAGATCGATTTTTATTTTTCCCTTCTATCGGGAGTCTGTACCAAACGGCCACGAACGAGAAGAACATCTAGGCGTCTGGCCGAGCCCTTCAATCCACCGTTAGACGACAGCGTAGCCCGCAGGGTCCGACGCTAGAAGTGGTCCCGCTGAGATCTGGCGGAGATAGCCACCCTGCTGCGGTTTATCTTCGGCCCTAACCGGTCTTGACTAGTCTACCTAGACTACCTCTCTTGTTCTATGAGGTCGTGTTGCATGGACCGTGCCGTGCCCGGCCCCTCAACTTGCAATGCCTCGTGATTGGTGTCAGGAGCACGGCCGGGGCTGACCTGCTGCACCAGTACGTGGACAGCAATGCCGTGTTCCGCCTGGTGACTGACCTCCGCTTCGAAGACCCGAGAGTTCCTAGCCCCCGTCTGATGATCATCAAGGTCAGTTATTGACTTAGCGGCGTTGTGATGAAGTATATACGTAGGCTTTTCGCGAATGTCTCCCCGCCGGCGTGGACTGATTCCGGCTTTGTAGGATTGCGAGGTCAATGGTCTAACGATTACGGCATACACGGCAATGCGCATACCCCCCGCTCACGTTTTTGGGGCGGTTAATCAACACGCAAGATGAAAATAGTGCATAGAGTACCTATTTTTTTCGCCAAGATGACCATGGACCATGATAGGAAAACGGGGGTTCTGTCCTGTTCGCGTTTGCCGCTTTGCCTTCTAGGATCTAGCGTTTTCCCTACTCCCTAGAAAGCAGTCCTTTAGTGTGTTTCCAGCACGAATTTTCCCAGCATGTGTGTGCTGACCAGTCGCCACAACATGAGCAGCATCACATCATCATGCACATACATGACCTGCTTACGTTTGCCTAGGTTGGATACCTCCCTTATTTTGACCCCCGCCCCCCGCCGTCCCTGCGCTTAATCCCCACTACTCAGGCTGTGTACGAAAACTGCGCGCATTTGCGACTGCCCACCCTCCGCGCTTTGGCGCACGCCTCTCACGACCATCTCATGAGAACCCGCGAGCTTGAGGATTGGGCCGCGAGGGTGGGCGTCGACATTGCGGAGGCTGCCGCGGCCGCGGTGGCCGACGGGATTTCTGGAAGAAGCGGTGCCGGGGGCGGGGCAGGGGGGAGCAGGGCTCGTGTGACCGGTCGGGACCAGTCGCAGACGCTGTGCGAGCTGCTGCTCTTCGTCCTCGAAACGTTCCCGAGATTTTTCCTGGGAATGGTCCCCATCGACGAGGCAGGGGGGCAGCAGCAAGGGGTTTGGCACCACGGCGACCCTGGAGCTACCTTCAACGGGGATGGCCGCGGGTACGGGAGCGTAGAAGATTGTGGTGTTGCCGCCCAGGCGGCAGAAGGGTGTGCCGACGTCGGCGGCGTGGACTTTCACGCCGGTGTGTTCTGGGGAAATGGTTCTTCCTCGGGTGCCGCTAGGGAGAGTGCGGGAGAGGAGCCGCAGCTGCAGACGACCGTTGTCGCAGGCGACAACGGTGGTAGTGGTGCTTTGGATCCTGCGTTCGACGCGTCTTCGCTACATGCGGCGACGGCAGCGGCGACGGCAGCGGCGACCCAGTGCCGTTCGCCGACGCCAACACCAAACCAGCCACCCCAACCGCACCCGCCACCACCGCCGGTGGCAGAATTTATGTCACCTTCTCAAGCCTGGGGCAGCAACGGTCCTGACATCGGTAGCCCCAGCGCGGAGATAACAGAAAACAGACGCGCCACCGGCGATCAAGAGGACGGCCCCGCCGCCGCAGCAGCAGCAGACGGCGGTGACCAATGTAAGAGCGGCTGCGGCGGTTGCAACGACAACGATGGTGCAAGCTTGGCAGAAGAGGGAGGGTTGGTCGGGTCGCCAGGCGGGGGAGGGGCGGGAGCGGGAGGCGGCCCCACCGCTCGGAACGCCACCAGCTCCGGTGGAGACCCGGCGCCGGCTTCCGAACGGTGCGCGCTGGCTTGGCCCAGCTTGGCGTCGGGCTCGCCCTCACCCGCCACCGGACAGCGCCAAAACCAGGAGGGCGTCGAGAACAAGCAAGAGCCCCCATGGTCCCCGGCATGGGCAACCGCTGGGGTACGGAGCATCGAAGATGTTCCACTGGAGAAGGGGGCGGGATTGGCGGTGAACCGCGGCAGCTGCGGCGACGGTGTTTGGGGCCAGGGAATGGCGAGCAAGGACCTGGCTTGGGAATCGGAGGCGGGGCTGGGGGAGGAGGTCGGCGGCGACTTGCGAACGGCGACGGACGGAGTTGCCGGCGCCGCCCGCGCCTTGCGCTTCACGGCGCAGGAGGAGGACGTCGGCGGCGATGCGGAAGCGACCGGGGACACGGGCAACCAGCTCGCGTCGGGGCGGGAGCGTTCGCGAGAATCCCCCGTTGCCTCTACTGGCGAAGCAGTGGCGGGGGATCCCTTCGAGTCCGGGGCGGGAAGGTTGGGGCTTGACGAATGGCCCACTGCCCAGGAGGCGAAGTCGAGCACGCCTGAGAAGAGATCGGCGAAGGAACCCGTCGAGCGAATGGACGGCGCGGCGGTGTCCGGGTCACGGGGAGACACGACGGGAGGCCAAGAGGCAGGCACGCTGCAGCCACTGCCGACGGCGACCGGCTGCACCACCGCAGGCGGCGGTGGGCCTGCGCTTGAGCTCGACCTGCCCGCCGTTGCGCTGAAGGAAGCCACTCGGTCGCTCTGCAACCTGTACGCCAGCCACGGCGCGCCGGCCGCGGGGGCGGAAGCGGCAGCGTCCGCGGATGCCCCGGAGCGGCTGCAGCCGCTGGCGCTCGCGGGGTCTACCCTGTGCCAGCTCTGGCCGCCGTCGTCGGCGCTGCTGCTCCGGCGCCTGCTCGGGACGTGGCCCACCGGGAGCGCGAGGAGAGAGGTGGCGTACCTGAGGCTGATCGCCGGCGTGGCGTGCGCCGCGCCGCCGCTCGGGGTGGTGTGCCCTGGCTCGCGCCTCCCGCTCATGCTGTTCCACCGGCTTGCCAAGTGCATTAACAGCTCGAACACTAAGGTGATGAGTTTTGTTGGGATGTTTGTCATGAGGGGGCGTGGGTTTGCCGTCATCCATGACCGTGTTTGATGTTTCCGGTCTCCAGCATCAGGTAGGAGAGCAGCAGAATGGTGCGGATGGTGGGGGCCCGGCGCGGGTGGAGTGGGGTACGGAGGGCACGACATGTTTGATGAATGCTATCTTGTTGTCGTTCCTCTGTTTTGCCCGTTGTTGTCACGCGAGTGATCACCTGCTGTTCCCCCCTTCCTCAAGCGCTTCCTTGGCGATCGCATCTTTCGCCACGCCCTCGATGTGCTGACTCTACTGCGAGTTTCGCCGAAGCCTTTTCGCGGCTGTTCGTAGGATCTTTTCGACGGCTTGGCATCGACCGCCCGCTGTTCGGCTTCCCTCCAACGTGTTCGATGGTGCTGCTTATCGCGTTGTAGTCACGCGTTTCGGTTACGGATGTCCTCCTTCCGTTAATCAGCGACATGCCCACGAACGGAGCAATTCGAAACACCGCCCCACAACGATCGACTTCCCCCAAAACGCTCGTCTTCATTTTCAGGTGGCGCAGGAGGCGGCGTTCCTTGTCCAGGCGGACTTCATCCTGATGGTATACCTCGCTCCGGACCGGCGTCTCATGGACCTCGTGACGAACGCCCTGTGCGCAAACCGCGAGCACTGGAGCGCGGACGTGCGCAACGCGTCCGACCAGACGTTTGACCTCATGCTTGACTTTCTCTGACGCCGTCACGGCTTGCCCCGTTGATTTGCAAGGCTCCTTTGTGACGGGGTGGGGTTTTGGCGAAGCCATGCGAAGGGCGCGCGGTCTTAATTGCCTTTTCCTCATGCCGTCGATTCTGCTTTGGAAGACCAACGTTGTTGTTTCTAATGTTGCCCTGCACCGGCAGCTTCTTCCGTCTTTGTATTATTGGCTTCCCGTCATGCCTGTGAGGCGGTGCGAGGCTGTGCGCCGTATTCAATGGTCGCAGTTGGAAGCGGCCATATCTTCCCGGGTGAGGGTCGCTGTGTGGCCTCTGGTGCATCGGAGCACTAGAAGCTGGAGGAAAAATTTACACCCTGTGAATTTAGTCGGTTCTTGTGTTTTGTTGAACACTACGCTTGAGTTGACGAGAATCTGGCGGGGGTAGGGTTGGCAGACGTTTGCAAGCACATCACCAGGCTCTGCCAGCGTTGTAGGTAGTTGCGTTGTAGGAGTGTTTTCCTCTCTGTTTTCTTCTCTCAGGCAGGCAGCGTGCGGCCTTGAAAGGTATCCCACCCTTGTGCGCGGGAACTGCGTTCGTTTGCGTGCTGTTGCAAATCCCGTGAGTTTTTTCAAATACCTTCGATTCTTGGCGGGGCGCGCTGCTGTTCGTACGTGCTGGCTTAGCATTGGATGCCCGAGAGGCGCTCTATTTTCAACGTCAAGCGTCGGATTCGGGATAAGGCCAAGTCTTTTTGGGAGGCAAAGAGTCTGCCACGAAGTTTTTCTTTGTGAGGGTTCCAACTAGTTCAGCTTGGACGGTAAAAGCGCCGACGAAGTGACATGTACGCATGTTCGAATGGGCGTGTCTTCGACTCGATGGAAGTCTCGTTTATCTCCCGTGTGTGTAGCAGAAAGCTGTGCAGCAGCTTTTTCGCAGCGGCCTTGACGTACTTTCCCCTCAGGTAACAACAGTTCTTTTGCTGGCGAGTTTTCTTGAGAGATGAAGACAGTGGTATTCTGGTTGGTCTCTTAGGTGTACTGCAACTATTCGCAAGTTTTCACGCGCGTAGCTGTTGGTGCCGTTTGGATCGTGATGAGTGTGAGGTGGTCGATTCTCCCTCGACATCTTGAGCTGTTTTCATTGTTGCGCAGGGCCGAACAATCCTTTTGTTTTGGTAGTGCAACATGCGCGTACATTGTACGAGTTGAAGGGATAAATACTGACAGGAGGGTTAGACCGGTGCGGGAACACTGACGGGGGGGGGGAGTTGTAGCGGGGTTGTCACCAATAGCGATGAGCTCGCATGTATAAAAAAGTAACTAATATAGGTAACCTGCGAGGTTCGGGGTGGGTATGTTGGCCGCCGTGCGGTTGGTGATAAGGACATGTCATAGTTTGCAGGTGTAGCCAGATTTTTCGTTCTCTCCGTCCCACGCAAGGCGGATTTCTCGAAGGACGTCCGCTTCGTCGACATATGACGGAGCGCCAAAAAAAATGTTTAAGTTCTTCGTGGGGTGCGGAAACTGCTTGTGTTTCGGGGGGTTCCGATGTATTCATGAGGAGCAATGAAACAGGCTTCTTGGGTAGTTGAGCGATGGGGCCAAATTTAGAAGCCCGGCGATCCGCAATCCATGGGAGGTTTACGTAGTATCGGATCGTCTATCAAACGCGAGGAAAGCGTTGGTGATACATAAGGCTTGGTTTCGTGCTGTCCAGATCCAGCAGTAGAAATAGAGGATCGGCGCATGTATTGTGTCAAGAGTCGTAGTTGCTTTGCTATGTGGGGTTCAAATTGTTGCCTCGGATGCGATCGACGTGGGTGCGGTTTCTTCACTATTGTTGCATTGACGTGTTTGCTTTGTGTTGCGTTACTTTTTTTCCCTGGTGTGTTTCCCTGGTCGGTATGAAACGCTTAAGTTAGAATGGCAATTTTGGCCAAGGGTAGTCTCCCATTGCTAAAGTTGTAATCATGTGTTTATTTCCCCGTTCTCAATGTGTTGTTGTTGTTGTTGTTGTTGTTGTTGTTGTTGTTGTTATTGTTGATGTTTTCTTCACAATAACTCGTGTCAGTTGCTAATCCCAAAATCTAGCAAAGACTCGGTCCGTGGTCACAAAAATGCCAGAGCCATCAGAAGATCTAACGAACTCGCACACTATTAGCAAGAAAAGGGTACACAAGCCCGAGGAGGTACACCTACAATTCCTGCAGCACGTTTGCGTGCGCACAACTGAACTACACACCCACGCACTACGATTTGACTACAGCAGCAGCATCACCCCCCTTGTCCCGCACTCAACCAAAATGAATGCTGTCGATAACAGCGTACTGCTGTCTGATTGCTGTCTGTACAATCATACTTCATATGAAGTATCAACATGATGCTCAGGGCATGCAGCTGCTGTCTCAAGTGCTGTCAGAATGCGTCCGTGGACATGCAATGAAAAGAACAACGAAGCAAAGCCATCATTGCAATTGACAAATCACCCGAATCTATCCAGATCATCTGTGTTAGACACAACAGTGTAAACATCGACACTGACTAGGAATCGTTCCACACTGAAGGGGTCTTCCGCGACGCAGGTACACAATTAAGGCCTATGGTCTAGAGTAGCGGCGGGTATTAAGAAC